GTCGTTAGTGCTTCTCTGAAATGGGGGAACGGTTTTCACACTGCTATTCAGCTCCTTTTGCGTACAGTACAGGGAATGCTTTTTCAACATTTAGGCACAGTTGAAGGCTAATCAAGATCTCGTAAGTTTCCAGGCCTCTTATTGTTATTGAATTTCCCTCCATTTCTTATCTTGAGTAGCTGTTACGATTCCAGGTATTCAAGTGAACGTCATTCAGAAAAGATAAGGTAATAATCCATTGATATGGGACCCTCGTATTTAGATTTCAGCATATCCCTCTCCCTGTTTATGTTATTAACCATGGTAGAAAAAAGGGGGTTTAAATTACCCAGTATTTCCTCCTCAGATGGTGTACAGAATAGAAATTACTCAGCAGATGCCATCTATCCCTCTTCAGCAACAGAGAGACTTTACAGGGTAATTTTCCCTGATTTCCTCAAGAATGAAAATTCTGGGGGTGTTCACCCCAAAATGCCTCCATTCACACATCTATCATACCTCTTTGAAAGGAGAGATGAAATGACTCGTATCTGTTTGACTAAGCTTTGAGACGAAAAATTCTTTCTAGAGACACAGTCCTCTAGACCTCAAGGGAAGAATCTCATGCCTCCACTCTTCTCTCTGATATTAAATCCTTAATATTAATAAACAAATTAGACCTACAAATCGATGTTCTTCAGCATATATGCTGCAAAAATTACACAACCTGCTAAATCTATGTCAGCTGATAACAAGCGTTTCCTTTCACATTCAGAACTTCTCAGAAGATGCAGAGCTTTGCCACACAACCATTATTTGATTTCCAGTAAACCAGACAAAATAACTATTCAGGAATACATTCATATTAATTAAGCCCTATCTTGATCTGAGCCCTCCCTTAAATGTCAGTATCTTTTCGGATGGCACAAGAAATACTCAAGGTTCGTGTGAGTCATTTATAATGGCTCCGATATATAAAAGGAGTTGTAAAATGGGCATACCAAGAATTTCACAAAGAACTGTGCGGGAAACAATGTTTCTTCAAACTCAGCAAAACCCACACAGCAGGGATAAGCCAATCTCGCAGCTTGGTGGGGAGATCCCTTGTCCTCCTTCCCAACACTCCTGCCACCTCTCTGGGATCCGGGGGCTCTACCTCCTCCTCCTCTTCCCTTGCACATGCTCTGAAACTCGCCAGACTCTTTGCTGATCCGCTTCAACTCTACCCCAGTAGTAAACACCATTTTTTTGTCCTTTCTGTTGGATTAACAAAAAAACACATCGACCCCCCAGACAGATGTGGCAAGCACCAGAGCTGGCTGAGGGCGAGTGAACCTTTTGGTGGCAGTGGACCAAGCACCCACCCACACTGGGCCACGGGGTGCGAACAGGGGGCCGGCGTGCTCTGCCAGATCAGCGACCCGAACTGGTTGAGGGGGTGGCTCAGAAAGGGCCAGGGAGAAGCAGATCAGGGAAACCGCTCTCTTCTGGTGGAGGCAACCTGCCACATCACCTGGAGCATATAATTTTCATCGCAACCCCCCACTTACTTCTTTGGCAGGTGGGCACTTAGAAGTCTGGCTGTGGTCACTCAGGATACTCCTGCCCCTCTCTGGGCAGGTACCAACCAGCTGCAGGGTTGGCAGAAGGGACGATGTAACTATACTTCAGATGCAGTAAATTGGGAACCCCAGTACCTTCGCCTTAAACCACCAGGGAACAGAGTTTAAGCTGAAGGGTCAGAAAGCAAAGTTTCCATTTCCAGAGTGAATGTGCTGCCGGGGTCTGTAGGCTCAGCAGGGAAAACCTGGAATGTCCTATCTTATCCATGACAGAGCACCACCGCCTGAAACTCCATCAAGTAAGATTCACATTCAAGGTCAGCAAGAAAAGACAGACCACACAATTGAAAATATATAGTACAAGTGCCTAAGCTTTAATGCTATACTAGCAAAGTAAAATAATAAAAGTACATCTTGAGCATAAACAAAAATTGTATCTTGGGCCTTCTTTGAAAATGAGGTTGTCAGATGCACCCTTTAAAAAAAAAAAAAAAAAATTCCAAGCTGCACACCTAATAATGGGATGGGTTGGGATGGGAGCAGAAAACAGGAGGAGGTCAATGATTTCTTTTTCAAAGCAATGTAAGAGCTGCACTGGACTTTTAAATGATATTCTGGAAGAGGGCTCATCCCCTGCGTATGTATTTGACCACTGAGGTATCGGTTTGCTGCGTTCTGCATTCAGCAATGGCACAGAGAGAGGAGCCAGCAGCCTCCCAGCTCCTCTGGTGGCAATGTGCCCTCTCCCACGAGTGACAGACTATGCTGTAATTCCACTTGAACAGGGGGTAAATCGGTGGCTAGGGCCTACAGTGAAATCAGCTCATGCTTCAGCCATGCTGCCCTAAGCGAATAGCAGCATTCCTGCGCTTCGTGGCACACTGCTGGGAGTACTTTCGGTGGTCTGCAATCCGTTCAGCTGTGCGCTGAATCCTGTTTAATGTTTGTATTAACATGGGTCAGGCAGCAAACCCCAAAGCTCGGAGATAGCAAAAGCACTGGAGTTACAGCACACCTGCTCTACCCAAAGAAGGCAAACTGAGAAAATCCAAATAAATAGTCCCCAAGAAACTGAGAGGACTTGGGAGTAAAAATAAAAACTGCTGACTCCATACATTTAAAAACCCCCTAATGATCATACAAAGGCACGTTAAATCAACTACTATTTCAAGATCTATACCATTACCCCTATTTCTACAAATTTAAGTCTTTGCTGCAATTTCTTTCTGATTATTGACAGACACAAGCATGCAAGACTCAAGTCCTAACCAATGATTGGTGCAAGACTCAGGTCCTAACCAATGATTGGTAAAATCCCCATTCTCCAGATCCTCAAAGTCATTTTTAGTGCCCCAACTTTTAACAGAAATACCACACCTCTAATGAGTAATAGCAGAGACCTTTGAGCTCCTTCTCAACCCAAAGCTCTTGAAGAAAGACAGTTTATTTTTACGCAGAGTTTATCAATTTATTGCAAGGTATCAGGAAATTTCTGAATGGTGTGACCACCTTTACATGCTTCACTGCATTTTAAAATGAAAGCAAGAGAACATTTGCTTAAATCAACACCGTAAGTCACCAGTTTAAAGGTTAACACTTGATCGTGCAGCACAAGAAAGAGACACTTATCTTCCCAGTTCAAGGACTTCAGTTTTTCTGAGCAGCAGCACACAACGCTGCAACAGGTTTGTTTGCAGGACCCTTCTGCAGAGATACAAACCAACATGGACGCAGGACGGGTGGCCTCAGAGCATCGCTCCCTGGGAGCAGGGCAGAGGGTGGCTCAGACCCCGCTCTCCCCACGTACTGGCACGCCACTAGCCCGCTGAGACACTGCTGGGCTGTCACCCATCCTGTCCTAGCAGCCTTTTCAACACACAGAACGCTGGCGTTGACACCAGCGCAGTTGGGTTTCACATGGGGCAGCTGCTGTCAAGCTTCCAGAGCTCTTCTTCCAGCCAGGAGACACCACAGCCAACCCCGGCACCCTCGCCGAGATCCTGTGCAACCAACAGAAAACCGCAGGGAAGATGAAAGTACTGCGCTGATGGAGTACAGCTGTCCTAGATAAGTGAAATAATACAGCAATAAATAAGGTCCTTATCTACTGTGGCAAGAAAAAGGCAGGCTCAGGGGAAGAGGTGGGCAAGGGAGAGAAGCTAAAAACATGCCTATGGAAGAAAGAAAATCTGAAACTAAAAGAGAAGTGCACTCCTAATTAACGCAGTTTTAGTTTGACAATTAGCTTCAAAATCCCCAAAAGTGAGTTAAGACATCAGCGTGGACACCGGTCAAACCAACAGCTACGCTCTATTCCTGCAAAGTACAGGCAAATGCCTCCTCCTCGCTGCTGCAGCATCCGAACCAGCGATGCCCAGGCACGGACCCGGCCGCGCTCAGCGCTACGCTACGGGCAGCACCGAAAAGAAGGTTCTTCAGAAACCATCTTGGGAATTGAAGGGAGTGATTCTGAGCCAGGATGTCAGACCGATCCATAAAGAAAAAGGTGATTGCTGTAGCTGGGCTGTGTTGTCCTACATTGCTTACGTTTGTTTTAATTTTAAACTGAGAGTCAGTCCAAGGTTTGTTACACAAACATATGGCACCGGTATTACATTCTACCTTGTATTTATAGAAAGTACTGTGGCAGTCCAGGCAGCACAGAAATACCATAATGTTAACAACATTTATTATTAGTATGACAAAAGAACAAAAATAAGCTGGTAGAAATTGTGACTTAAAAGTTTAGGGGGCCAATTGGAATAAGGGAACGAACTGTGGAGCTATTAGCTGAAATTCCTCCAGTATTAACGGACAGTTCCCAGGCTGCCAAGTGTTTTGTTACATAAATATACCCTCAGAAAGGTAATTTGTTTAAAACCCAAGCCCTGAGAAGTGATTAGCACATTTAATGCTAGCCCGATTTAATGCCGATATGCCCTCAGCCGGGTGATGGAAGCGTTGAGGCAGAAGTCCGCATTCCTCCAAGTGAAGAGGAACAAAGCTTTTGGGACAAAGGGTAAACCTTAATTATGCCTTTTTATTACTCAAACTGTTATTTCCTCCTTACCCCAAAATAAGCCAGGAAAGCTAATGGCATGCTCACATATCCCCATAAGCAATGCGATTGATAAGTGTCATTACTAGATTTTTCCACTCCAGCTGTTAAGCTAGAAGCAGCAAAGGTTTGATCCTTCACCCTCTTTAACAACAAACAAAAAAAAAAAATAAAAAAAAAAGCAGGCTACAGTACACTGCTAACACTAATAGTGCCGAACCTTCTGGAAGCGTTTATTAGCTTTGGCTGCCGACCAGTGATTGCTGCAGGAGTGGACTGGAGCTGCGGTGCAAACTGGTTAATCTGTAGCTAGACATATTTGTGATTGGGGGGTGGGGGCGGTGTTTAGCAAGAATTAGTTGCTGCCTGGCAGACAGGGCTTCAACAGTTTGAAGGGTTACTTTTTTTTTTTTTTTCCAAAAAAATTTTATTGGGAGAACTACAAAACATTTACAGTACAAAGTTTACAGTCTCACACAATTTGTAGTGAACTGACTCCCGAAAAATATATTACAACTCAAGTTGACTTATCCTTTAGTTACATTCAAAACATACTTCTGTTAAAGTAGTCCAAAAGAGTACATAGTGCTCAATCTGTACCTATGTACAAACAAAACTAAGCTACTGCTCATTCATCCACCGTCCAGGAAAGTTTTGGAAAACTCCTGACTTTCTACATAAGGAAAAAAAAAAAAATTACAAGTTTTGGAATTCAATTAAACAAGATATGTTCATGTACTGTATAAAGTTTCAGATCCAAAGATGGCCTCCATTCTTATAAAATAAAGAGTGGCAAAATTTTGCTGTAGTTAAAACCCATCCCTACATTCAAATTATCTCAAGCATTAAGAAAAATACTTATTTGGTTGAAAGAGATTTAAGGCAAGCATGGACCCTCAAGAAGGCACTGTGAGACATAATACTGGGACCCCCAATTATTGCTACATACTTTGAGACTATATCACAGTGTGATTGGTGGAGTTAGGCAACAAAAAATACTTTTTGGTTACTTTAAACAAGTCTGAATTAGATTTGCCACTTTGAAGTCTGATTGCTAAGTCAGTCTTTTTTTTTTTTTTTTTTTTTTCTCTCATTTGTTTTCTAACTCGGACGGGCTACAACCATTTACATTCTAAAAAAACCCATAGAAAATTCCTCAAACTACTTCCACAGCATCGAGACCGATTTCTATAAAGAAACCATGCAATCTTTCAGATTTACGTAAACAAGGAAAGAAATTAATGAAATAAATATTACATACAATCTCTTAAATTAAGAATTTTACTCATTTACAATAAAATAACCAAGTGAAGTTACAAAAAGGCATATATTACTGTGAAAAGAACACACTCCACATTTCGCCGATTAATAATGGCAATCATAATTTAAACATAATAAAAGAATATATATCTATTGCTTTTCATCATACCCGATAAATACAGTATGAACAAATTACCAATGTATACTTTTCACAAGATAATAAATAAGTTAAATAGTTTCATATTGAGTTGTGTGCAGTGACTCATTCATGCAATCAACTCAAAACAGCTAAAAAAAAAAATTAAAAAAAAAAAAAATCAGCAGTTATTCTCCAACAATTACAAACTAAACTCAGTTGAGTGCTTCCAAATAAAGCAACAACAAAAAAAAAAGTTGTTCTAAGCCAAACATCCACTAAGTGGTGGCACTGGAACCAATATTAAACTTTGGAATGAAGGTTTTAGCATTTGTTATAATAATAATATATAGATATATAAAAAAAGAAGGTTGTTATCAAGGCATATTCTTGGCAGGATGTTGGATTTTTCTTTTTTTTTTTTTTTTTTTCCTTTTTTTTTTTTAAAAAAAAAAAGCTTATAGGTTTAGTATGTTCTGTGTTTTTATTTGAGCTGGATTGAAAGACAAACTAGTTTGTAACTTTTGTTTGTGTGTGTCTGAAGGCTTGGAGGAGCTGGACAGGCAGGACTCACGCTCCCCGGATTGTTTGTTGCTTTCTGGTGGTGTCTTTTCTAATGCTTTTTTTTTTTTTTTTTTTTGAACACAGATGGAATGGCTGCTGCTGGTGCGTATCATAACTTGTCTCCAAAGAAGAAGAACAACAACAACAAAAAAAAACCCCGAAACGAAAATCCCCCTCTTCCAAGGTCTCTCTATAAAAATAGGTTTGTTCAGTTCGTGTCATTTGCCCTTTTGCAAGATGCTTTTTTTTTGTTTTGTTCAGCTCTCGGTGTATATATAGATATAGATATATATATGTAAAAAAAAAAAAACAAAAAAAAAAACAAACACAAAACAGAAAAACAAAAACCAAGAGAGAAGAGAAGGATTCACTTTCTTCGCTTGCTAACTTACGTGCCGGGCCGGGCGGGCGGGCGGCAGCCCCCCTGCCCGCCGCCCCCCCGGCCCCCTCAGTCGTCGGAGATGGAGAGGCGGCTGAAGATGGGCAGGCGGCGGCCCGAGTCCAGGCTGGGCGACTCGGAGCCGCTGAGGGAGCCGGAGCTGAGGGAGCCGCTCAGGTAGCTCTCCCGGTCGGAGAGGGAGTCCGGCGGGCTGGGCGGCGCGTCGAAGACGGGCGACTCGGAGAGGCGGCGGAGGGGCTGGAAGCTGAAGGGCGGCGAGGCGGGGGGCGGCGGGCAGCCCCCCCCGGGCGGCGGCGGCGGCGGCTGCTGCTGGCAGCGGTAGTAGGCGGCGGCGGCGGCGGCCGCGGCGGCGGCGGCGGCGAAGTTCTGGGTGTGGAGGGCGAGGGGGGCGATGAGGCTGCCCAGCTCCTGGCCGGAGAAGGCGAATGCGTTGTTGGCGCAGGGCGGCGAGAGCAGCTCCTCGCAGTAGGAGGCGGAGGCGGGCGGCGGCGGCGTGCGCGACCCGCCGGGGCTCTCCAGCAGGCCGGCGTCCAGGCGGCCGCCGGGCGGCGGCGGCGGCGGCGGGGCGGCGCTGTGGGGGTGCGGGGGGTGGTGGTGGTGGTGGTGGTGGGCGGAGAAGCCGGAGAAGCTCAGGCTGTGGTGCAGCTTGGGCCGCTCGCCGCCGCGGGGAGGGTGCCCGAAGCCGCCGCCGCCGCCGCCCCCCAGGGGGTGGTCGCGGGGGGCGAAGGCGCGGAGGTCGCCGGTGCTGCCGGCGGGGTGCGGGTGGTGCGGGTGGTGGTGCGGCCCCGCGGCGGCGGCGCTGGGGGGGGGGGCGGCCGTGCCCCCGCCGGGCGCCGGGCGGCGCTCGTCGGCGTTGTGGATGAAATGGCAGCGCGGGCCGTAGGGGCAGAAGCCGATGGTGTGGAAGGTGCGGCAGAGCTCGGTCTTGTACTTGGGGTGGCGGGTGAGGCTGCGCAGCTCGTGGAAGCCGTGGGCGAACTGGCACTTCTCGCCGTACTTGCAGGCGCCGCTCTCCTCGAAGGGGCGGCACAGCTCCGTCTTGTAGCGCGTCGAGTTGATGGGGGCCCCGCCGCCGCCGCCGGAGCCGCCCCCCTTGCCGGCCGCTGCCGCCGCCTGCTGCTGCTGCTGCTGCTGCAGCTGCTGCATGAGGTGCTGGCTGCGCTCGCCGTTCTCGCTGAAGGAGCGGTCCCGGAACTTGTTCTCCTTGTTGAGCAGGGCCGTGGGGCTGCTGCTGCCGCCGCCGCCTCCGCCGGAGCCCGTCTCCTTCAGGCTGCCGAACGAAGAGGAGGAGGAGGAAGAGGAGGAGGAGGTGGAGGAAGAGCTGGAGCCGGTGGGGCTGGGGAACTTGGAGCCGCCGGCCAGCGCCGGCAGGTTGCTGGTCGAGTGCCGCCGCAGGAAGCCCGGCGCGAAGCTGGAGCTGGGGGGGGTCACCGGGGTCCCCACGGCCTTCTTGTCCAGCATGCTGCTGAGGTTGGTCAGGGACTTCTCCGTCTGCCGGGGCGGGGGGGGGGGGTGGGGGGGGGGAGGGGAAAGAGGGAGGGCGGGGAGACAGGGAGCGGGAGAGACAGAGGGACAGGGTGTTGCAGGGTGACCGCCAGCCCACCGCCACGGCTCCCGCAGCCCCGCCGGGCGCCCCGCGGGGGTCGGGTCGCGCCGCCCGCCCCCCCCCCCCCCCCCCCCCCCCGGCCCCGAAGGCGGCTCTGCTGGCGTGCCGGGGCGAGCGGGTCCGAGCCGGCGAGAATCCCCCTTACAGGCTCGCCGGCGGGCGCCACTTCCAAAAAAAGTTCCCTCTCGGCAGCCCAGCGCGGGCGGTCGCCTCCGCAACTTCAGGAAAAGCCCACGCCGAGAGCCCCTCGTGGCGAGGGTGCATCACGGCGCGTCCCCCCGGGGCCCGCGGCCTTGCATCAGCCGCCCTGCAGCAGAACCCGCGCCGCTTTAACGCGGCCAGCTGTCAGGGGGCGACCCGCTCGCCGAGCCCCCCGCCCCGGCCCCGGTCCCGGTCCCGGTCCCGGCGGGGCTCCGGCCCCCGGCGCCGTCCTGCAAAGCCGCCGCCCCGCCCCGGCGCCGGCAGCCCGGGTCGCGCCTGAGCAGGCGGGCTTCGCTCGCCCCTACCTTGCACAAGAAGTCAATGTCGTAGAAGGCAGATAAAAGTGTCGTCGACATTTCTAGATCCTGTAATGGTCGGAAATACAGGAAGGACCGAAAGATCCCGCTCTCCTCGGAGGGTTTGGAAAAGCCACGACTAGATAGGAGGGGGCCGTTTGCTTGAGATCCGAAATGGGTCCCGTCTCCTTCCCGGCGGGGCGGGCGGGACGGCGGGTGCCGGGCCGAGGCGGCGACGGCGGCTGCACAGCAGCGGGCGAACTGCGGGAACTCCGCGGCGTCCCGCGCCGCCCCCATATAAACGCCGCCGCGGCCCGCGGGGGCGGTGCCCCGCTCCCCCCCCCCCCCGCCCCGCCCCACCCCGCGGGCCCGCCCCACGGCCCCGCCCGGGCCCCCCCAACTTTCGCGGAGGGTCAGGGAGCGGCGGGGCGGGCGCGGCCGCACCGCCGTCAGCCCCCGGTACCCCCGCGGCTGGGTGGGAGCCGCTCCCGGCGCCCGGCGGGCTCAGCCCTTGCCGAGCGCCCGCCTGCGCGCCGCGCAGTGCCCGCGCAGCCGCCGCGCAGCGCCCGCGCAGCCGCAGCGGGCGGAGGCGGGCGCGCAGTGCCGCGGGAGAGGCGCGGCAGCGCCGGGGACACCTCTTCCTCCCGCCCCACCGAAAATAAACTTTTGCCACGTAATTGCTTTCAAACAAAGGTCGGGCCCGCGCTGCCCCGGTGCGACTGGCGGGACGGCAGCTGGGCGCGGGCTGCGCGCCCCGCCGCTTCTCTTCTGGGGAGTTTGGGTTGGTTTTTTTTGGTTTTTTTTTTTTTTTTTTTTTTTTTTTTGTTTTTTTTTGTTTTTTGTTTTTCTTTTTGTTTGGAGTTTGGGAGAGGTTGGCGGGCGGGCGCGGAGGCGAGGCGGCTTTAACCCTGCACCGGCCGGGCTGACAGGCGCTCTCTCCTGTGTGTGTGTCTGCGCCCCCCCTCCACCCCCGCCTTCCCACGCCTCCCTCCCACGCTCGCCCCCGCCACACCTCGCTCCCCGCCGCGGCCCGGCAGCCGCCAAAGGTCTTGTGACCCGCCGGGCTGCGCCAGCCGCCCCGGGAGCCCCCCCCGCCCCCCCGCCGGCCGGCGGGACAAGGGGACGGCGGCGGCACGGCCCCGCCGGGGGGGCTGCGGCCCCCGGAGCGGGCTGCCCAAGCTGGGCCGGGACCCGCCGTGCAAAACCCACGCACGCACGCTGCCCCGCTCCCCCCCGCGCCGCTAACGCGACGTGGGAACGGCGGCGGCGGAGGCGGCAGCGGCTCTGCACCCCCCCAGTCCCTGGCCTCTCCGGCGTTTGCTCAGCCCCGGGACAAATGGAAGGGAAAAATGGACGGACGTGTAAAGTTTTATTGCTGCTAAAGCCCGCGGAGGCGTTTGATCCTCTTTCCCTGCCGAGCCGGGCTGTCAGGCCCTGGGAACCCAAGGGTGCAAATCTGACCACGTCAGCAGGAACCCTGCACTTTGAAAGCGCATTTGCAAAGGAAAGCAACTTCGGAACCGTGGGGGGGGGGGTGTTACCAGAGCACTTCGCTTCGGGTTTTCACACTCGTGTGTGTCGTCGCTCACCACCACCCCCCCCCCCCGCCTCCCTCCGGCCGTCGCCATGCGGCTCACGGTCACATTTGGTTCCTTCCCTCCTCCTCCTCCCCCGAGGCTGCGGGGGGACAGCGGGCGGTACCCGCCGGGCGCACCCCCAGCTGCTGCATACCCCCCTCCCCCCCCCTCCCCCCCAATCCCCTGGAAGTGCCCGTGAGCCGTCACCCCCGGAGGCACAAACCCGGCCTAGTTAGGGCTGAGCTTAGCCGCAGAGACCGAAAAAAACCGCCCGGGAAAGACGAAGAGTTGAAGGATAAAAAGCCCCAACCTCCCCCCTTCGCGCTCCCCGCCACTTCGCCCCGGCACGTCCCCCCCCCCCCCCCCCGCCCCGGGTCCGCGGGCGCTTTGGGGAGCGGCGCTGCCGCCCCGCCCCGCCCCCCCGCCCCGCCCCCCCCGGGCCGCCCGCCGCGGCGGGAGGCGGCTGCGCGGGGATCTGCCACCCCCTAGTGCCGGTGCCGCTTCCCCGGGGGCTGCCAAAAAAAAAACCAAAAAAACAAACAAAAAAAAAACGTAAATTCCATTCCCGTCGTCCGGCCGGGCAGCAAGGCGCTGCCCGCACACCCCCCGCCGCCCCCCCCCCCCCGGGGAAGGCACCCGAAAGCGGGGCGGCTCGCCATAACGCGCATCATCTTCTCCCATCACCTCCCGTCCGGCCCACTCGGGATGCGCTCGAGTCGTGACCCGCCAGCACCCTCTTCCTCCTCCCAACCACCTCGGTGATGAGAACATCACCCTCGGAGCAGACCCTGCCCGCTAGTGAGCCAGCAGTTCGTGATGGTGATCACGCGAGGAGCAACGTGTCACTGTCGTTTGGAGGAATACTTCGGTAAATTGATCAAACACGGGGCCGATGAGCGCTCCCGCGGGGGGCTTTGCTAACCCTCTTCTGCAACTGCTGCTCAGGGTTTAAAGGTTCTTGATTGAGTAGTTACAGAGTAACCCAAGTCACCAGCAGCGGGTGGTGAAATGCATGCGCGCTGATATAATTTTTAGTTGCTCTCTATAAACTGAGGTGGGATGACAGAGGTTTCAGTTGCATTTTAAAACTCAGTCTTCCTTATCACGGTTTTCCAGCTACTTGGCTTACCGATTAACCAAGTCCTCAAGGCTTCACAAAGTCACTCAAGTTTTACAGTCGCTGTGGATCTACTACTAATGCTGTTACCTGTCTGCATTTATCCCTTTGTTGATATTGAATATATATGCATATGCATTATAAATTCTACTCTCAAAAAAAAAAAAATTAAAGACCCAATGTTACTAGATAGTCTTATGCTAACCACTGGCATGAGCGAGGTCACAGAACCGTACTGTAATTTTGATACTGTACAAAGTTCTGTTTTCTACTATAAAAGCTGTTGCTACACTAGTTCAGAAATGTTGGAAAGGTGTGGCAAAACTGTTAAATTAACTGTACAGGTCTTGACTATTTTTAAGAGTGGCTTCCAGACACAATCTGGGCTGTTCTTTCCCCAGGAGCTCAAAACAGAGGCAGGCAAATTAATTTTTAGCCTAACTCACAGTGTGGCTTGTTAAGCGGGGTAGCGTGCGTTCTGTGAAACATCTTTTCATCTCGGATTCCAACATTTCCCTTTGCCTAGTGAAGCCTGAGCTTTCATTGTAAATTACTGAAATAAGTAACGCCGAATCCTGGAAATGTACAGAAAGTATTTAAATTTTTGTTCCTAAATTATCTTTTTTTTTTTTTTTTTTTTCCTTTCAGTAGCGACTTCATCCCGTGCAGTTTTCAGATGTCCACTAAACCTAATTCGGAAGCTTACCTTGGTTTACGGCAGATCTTATTTAAACTCAAGCAGCGGGAGGCGATCGGCTCAGCCTGACCCTGGTGAGGTAAAACCGGCCCTTGGCGGGACTAAACCCGACCCCGCTGAGGTTAAACCAGCCCCTGGCAGGGCTGAGCCCGGCCTGGCCGCGCGTGGCGCGCACGGCGGTGCCGCAGCGCCACCTAATGGGCGCGCGCGGCAGCACGCGGAGCGTCGGCCGGACCCCGTCACCGGCACCGTCACCGCCAGCGTCACCAGCCACGGCCCCGCTCTGCCAACGGACCAGCACGTGAGGCGGCTGAACGCCAACCGCCGCCTACGGGGCTTGTCGCTGCCCCCGGGGCACCGCGCCTGCGCCGCGTGCCCGCGCGCTCCCGCCCAACGCAGCGTCCCGGCCCCGGGCGGGCGGCGGGGAACGGGCCCTTCTTCTGTCAACCCGCGTTCTCCTCGTCTCGGTTTCCCCCGGAGCCCCCCTTGCGGTTCCCAGGGGCACGCGCCGGCGGGGCACGGCCACCGTTTTGCGTGTTCCGGGCCGTGGCGCGGCCCCACGCCGCCCCCCCCCGCCCCGGCAGGATTTGGGGGCCGAGGGGGGCCTCGCCTTCCAGAGCTGCTTGCAGAGCAAGGCGTTTCGAAGGGAAGACGAAACGGGTTTGTTTGCAGTGGAACCGCTGCTTTGTTTTGAACGCAGCGGTCTTCTTTTTAGAGCGATTTTATAACGGTAGTTATTTGATTTGCAGGGGAGAAAAAGAGGGAGGCGGAAGTTTAACTAATGCTGCCTCCATGTGCAAAACAAGGTCACAACCAAAGAGAATCCTTGCCTTCCTCCAGAGGAAAACGCAGCAGAATTTAAAACGTAGTCTAAAAACTGTCATGGACAAACAAGCCAAGGTTTGTTTCTTTTATTTTAGAAACACTTGAAATTTAAAAATACCATACTAATTTAATAATTACCATTTTACATCTTGAAAGGAGGAGCCAAAAAAAAAAAAAAACCAACCTTCTCTTGGTATTAAAATACAGAAGGTAAAAATGTGGGCTAAGATGTAACACAGTTACAGGTGGCCTGCACCTGGATGAATAGAAAATACTAGGTTCAGCTGCTTTACTTCCTACAGTAGCGATAATAAACCATGCTCAGCTGAATGAAATTAGCAAATGCATTTAAAAGGAACAGTGTCTCACAGCACATCTGACAAAGAAAATAATAAACCACTGGACTCGTGGATAAAAAAACGTGGTTTTAGCCTGAACCCTGAATAGTTTGTTGCAGGTTCACCGGAGTCGTTATAGCAATCCCCTACTCCTTGTACACTGTTAGAATTCAGTCTCCCTGCCCGTTCAGTAACGTGTGCAGCACCCTGAGGATGAATTTAGTAATCTACTCTTCCAGATTTACATTTTTGCAAGTATCATCAGACTTCAGCAGATTTAATATTTTAAGGCAGACCGATACTCTCTCATTTTGAATAGCCAATCTTGTGAATTCTGCAGTTTTGGAAAATTCTGGAGTCGGAGGTAGCGCTCTAAGAAGGTGTCCAACAAGCTGGGCTTGGTCCAGTGCTATTCTTGATAGCCGATTAAGTTCTCCATGATCTGGTAAAGTCAGGTGAGTCATTGCTATAAGCTGCAAAAGGTGCTTACTAAGTTGTCTGACATGAGTCAACTTCTCTGCCCAAAAATTCACTTCCCCTTTATCAAACAGGTAATCATCTTCTTCCTTAACAAAAAGAAAAACAACAGTCATTAGGAAATTACTGGTGGTCTTGATAATAATGGAAAAATTATGAAAGACACATATAGAAATAATAGTAGAGGCTGTTACAGAACAGCTTTGTCTTAAAAAAGTAAAAATTCATATGCATATCATTTTTCAAATATTTGAGAAAACGCAGTAAAGGAGGTTCCTACTTTGCCAAAGAAATTTTACCTTCAAAAATCAGGCGGTTATGGTGTAACTCTTGGGAAACAGTGGAAGTAAACAGTAGTCCTAATCCTTAACATGTGCTTGCCTTCCCTTGTGAAACTGTCTTACATTTCACAGAGACCTCTCTATAACCAGTATGGTAATTTGCTATATCATGGAGCTTTTTGCGTGGATTAAATGAAAAAGGAAAATTGTATCGGTCAGTGAAACATCAGAAAAGCATACCTAAGCCACAGGCTTAAGAAAAGATTCGTAATGTATTTCATGGATCGTATTAATTGTTCACAAACTTCTCAAAGATGTAGCTGCTCCTGCTCCTTCCAGTTTACCTTCCAGCACTATTTTGATTTTTACTTTCTTTTCAACAGAAAGAGAGCACAGTGTATTACACAGCATTAGGTTTTATAGAACCAGTGTGGCAACGTTTTTCTTGACATAAATAATCCTTCTGAAGACAGTGAGTGATGTGAGCAAGGCTGCTTCATGTGCTAGGCAGAACCAGTTGTATAGAAGATGGCACGAAGTTACCAAGTATTTAAATGACATCTCTGGAAAAGCCAGCAGTTGGAGAGCGCTGTTTTCGAATGCCAGAGGTGCCTGGCACCCACAGCAGCAGTTTAAATGCAAGGCAAGCCATCATCTGCAATGATACTGAACACAATTTGTTACAGCCTCAAAGTGATTCAGTCAAAGATGACTTGAGTAACTTGATTTATCTCAGTGTTTGCTTATTGGTCTCTTTAGTTTTATGCTGGTATTGCTAGGAAACAAACATCAAACCCTATTTTTATTCTAAATACTGGCCACGTGATTTTTTTTTTTTTTTTTTTTTTTTTTTTTTAAATTGTAACTCGATTAATACTGGAGTAGTGATGATCTGGCTTCATCAGATGAGATATTTCATTCTATTCCTACCGCAAGACTGCAGAAACCTAGCGATCCCAACATGAGACAGCGACTGGTTGCTAAAATTACCGGGACTGATGTCTCCAAGTCTGTTCTCAGATCGCTGTCTCCCAGCAGCCACTCCAGCAGGACGGGTACACCGGCACGGACCTCCCCCCACCGCTGCAGCAGCTCACACAGTATGCCAAACGCCAAATCCAAGGCCATCGGAGCATTCACTATCCTAAGTGCAAACTCTGGTGAGACAAAATATGCGTAACAACGTATAGCAAGACTACAAACATTTTCAAATAAAATCAGCACAAAAATGATTTCTTGAAAAAATATGCTGAATTTACAGAAACACATTTAGAATAGTGAATTATACTGCAAGTAAGTTAGATGAATGTCTACTTCTGTTCCACTTGGGGACTTTTCTTAATTCCAAAATAATACATGAAGCAAATGAAAATGCTGATGCGTAGTATTTTTTCCTGTCCATGTACCGACATTCATTAATTTGGATTTAAATATACAAAGTCTGTTAGAAACATCTCCAGAGATAGTCCTGACACTATTATGTGGTGACTATTTCTGCAAAACTGCAGTTATGCTTTAGATCTGATTTGATGTTTTCACTGGAACTCAAAACCTACAGCACTTTATATGTTTTTAAAAGGCTGGGATATAAAAATGAATCATTATATGGTGTGCAATCTTTTTATGTATAGTAAGATATGCATATATATACACATACACACACACACGTGCACACACATGTAAGAAAGATCCAGCATACAAGACAGGCTTAGAGAAGATGTTGAAGAAGGGAAAGGTAGACACTGTTTTACAATACCATCACAGAACTGTATTTATACAGGTTTTGCTATCATGCCAGAACCGTACACAAAGCCATCATCCACACCATATTTATTCCCTAAACTTCCCCACTGCTCTCATTCGGGCAGATGCCGGTTTTAACTGTGCGGTTCCTAGGGCTGCCCTCAATAAGAGAGTACATAAAAAGGCCAGAAGCCCTGCTTTCATGAGAACTCCAACTACTGCATTCACAGGTACAAGTTCCACCACTGATACCATTAATGCAATTTTTCTTTTTCCAGGGGGAATGCAGGAAGAGGACTGGAGAATGAGAGCTAATGAACAAGCCCCTGTAAAATCCCTATTACTGCAAAATGGATCTTGTCAAATTTCATCCTTTTCCATAGTCAACAGCAAATGAACAACTGTTCAGTGAATGGTCTGTCTTCTAAGTAGTGATAAGGACATGTTATTCTTGAAGGCTGTCTTTTGTGAGCAGACAACACAGCAGACTCGGAATTATTTGGTAAAAAATCCATACAGACATGGAAGGCACACCCTATTTTTTTTTTGTCTGAGTGTATTTAAGTGTTTCTCATGAAGGAAAACGATTCCTGGCATAAAAGAGGCGCAGCAGTGCAGCTGAGACCTGTCCTTCACGACCCACGTTGAGTTGCAGCGTGGACCTCTGTCCCGTGACACCTCCCGAGGCCGCACGCCAGCTGCAGGTTTTCTAGAGCACGTTGGCACAGCAGAGAAACGTACAGTAAAACACCAGGACTGGGCAAATACGCATGCCAACGAGTAAGGGAGCGCAGGAAACTACTAAGGGCAAAACAGACAGGCGGAAAGATGGGTACCTGGTATTTGACAGACCAGGCGATGTACTGAGGGCACTGGGGAGGATGAATTAGTATTTGAGACCAAGAGAACAAAGGACTGTAATAAGGAAGGGAGTGAAGGAGAAAGAACAGATGGTCTCTTTTTATCTTGGAGTTAGATGAGGGTAAATGGAAATCTCCTTGAACAAGCAAGCAGGAAGACAGGCAGTCAATCTCTTGGTGACACTAATAATGTTACATACGCTGTTTGTCTCTGCTAGACAGTGAAATCAAATGTTCAGATCTGTTTTCTTCATGTCAGGACTTAGCACTGTATCTGGACATCCCTCAGCTTTGTCCATGAGGGACAGCCTGCAGGGGTGCTGCGTGACATTCCCACACCATTTATTGTAGGTACTGTTTTTTTTAGGTATTGCTTTTGCTGATACTTCTTTCCAGGATTTTAAAAAAACAAAACAAAAAAAAATCACAACTTGCTTTGTTGCTGTGCCCTACTTGGTACCATTCTGATACTCTAAAATGTTGGTACAGTGGTTGTCCTCTGTTTTGATTTGCTTAGGCTCAGGTAGAACACAGTTTCATTCAAGTCCCATGGGACATCAGAAGTACTGGCAATCCTCAGAGCTGGAAGAATAGAAATGAAAGCAAAGTGTGGGGTTCTGCGCCTGAAGCAAACATCCTGGTTAGGAATATTTACAAAGTGCAACATCTTAAACACAGCTCTTTTGAATTCTGATGATCCTTTAGAGTCTTATGGATGATAACAGAATGCCTGCTATTGTTAATATTTATAGAATGTCTCTTGCTTGTGTCACTTTATTTGTATTTGAATATTTAGCAAATGAAGTGATGCTGGGAGCTAAAAACCAAACGTTATTTCCCACTGCTGTGTTCCTGAAGTTAGCTGTTGCTTCAGAGCACTGATTATAGATACAACCGCAGATATTTAAAATACCTGCCATTTTCCGGGGCCTTTTTCCTTTTTAAGATTTAGACTTCGTACATGTAAGTATGGTGATGCTGTTTGGGAATGAGGACACTGGACTTCTGAGAAATGCACCAAAACATATATAGGGGCCTCTCATTCCGTTATTACGTGAACATGCTGAAAACTACCAAGAGGTAGCAAAACAAGTAACGCTGAGGTACTGCTTAGATTGAATTCACTTAGTAGCAGTTTTTCAACAGCATGACAGAGGAGGAGGCAGTTTTGTGGTCACACAGCACAGCAATCTTGAAGGGAATCCTTGTGTCACAACAAAGGAAATGGTTAAGTTTTTTTTTTGTGTTGTGGGTTTGTTTTGTTTTTGTTTTTTTTTTTTTTTTTCAGAAAGGAGAAGAGAAAAAAATTACAAGAAAAACATGTAAAGGAGGTCTAACACACAGGAAAAACATGAAGACCCTGAACACAGTACCGACCCAAAAGACACCGACCACCCTTCTGTGAACTGTGGACACCATTTAACTGATTAACCAAACTCATGCATCAGTTCTGCTGTTGAGACCAGAGAAAAACAAAGCAACATCAATTTGATAATGCTGAAACATTGTCTTCAAACATTTGGGTAAGAGCTTGCCTACTTTGGGTTTTGTGCTAGGGAGAAGCTAGCATAGTGGTCTCCTGGTATTTAAGGAGTTGACACAGATTCAACAACAAATCAAACTCTGGCAGATGAAGAATTTTCACTTCTACCTGCCCATCCCATCCCATCCCATCCCATCCCATCCCATCCCATCCCATCCCATCCCATCCCATCCCATCCCATCCCATCCCATCCCATCCCATCCCTCCACTACAGAGCACCAGGAATGGCTCCATTGTTTCTGAATTGCTTCTTCAGCTGCCGTTACTTACAGAGCGCACTGACATGATACCAGTTTGCACAAATTTCATGCTAGAATAGTTCAAGATCTGATTTGGGGACTACTGTTGCCACAAGAACAATGGAGAGATGGAGCAAGTATCCAAAAAAGGTTTATCAACTCCCTAAGCCCAGAGTGCTGAAGTAATACCGATAAATAACAGCAAGCAAAGTTACATACATACCAGTAATTTAATAGGTTAAAAACACTTTCAGAGGGGAGAATGTTCTATTGCTTTGATGCTCCCTGGCTCTAAAAGTAACATCAATGGATGCTGTAAGAATGTACAAAATCTTTTAAGGTACCCACAAGAGGTGTGTATCTTCTAAAAATAAACGTACGTGTCTTCACTGACGTATTAACTGTTTACAGGAACTGCTCCCTGCATCATCATTTGCCTGCAAAACAGAGCTGATTTTCAAGAAGCCACATATTACACAAGATGCTGTGTTCATGACTCATGCTATGACTTCAGAAAGTAGTCTGAGCAAGCTGGAAGTTCACCAGGGGCAAAAAGGGCAGGTGGCTCTCCTCTCCCCGCAGCCCCTCGGGCCATGGGCTCCCCACGCTTACCTCCAGCCAGCTCGGGCACTCTGCTGATCACCTGGTAAACTAACACTCAGAATAGCAGAACGTGAACTTGGCACGCAACTCGGCGTGTGGGCTCTTCTGCTCAGCTGGCAAGCTGAGCTGGTTACCCTGCAGTCAGAACTGGTCCTGCTGGGAGCTGGGGAAGGGAAGATCAGAGGGCAGTGGGGGCAAGGAACGAGGCCCAAGGGAGAGCGAGACCTCCCTGTTCAGCAAGCTGTTAGCTCTGGTCAGCTATAATCCAGAACTTCCCCATCAGAGTCATGTAAGCAAAATACTAACAGAGATGATTCAAATGACTAAGTATTAATAGCCTTTCATAACATAAGTAACTATTTAAAGTAACTGAATAAAAAAATTCAAATGACAGATTTCTAGAAGCTGCTCACAGCTGATTACTGCCACTGGAACTAAACCAGCAGGAACTGAACCTGAAGACATAGCTATTACCAAACACTGAAAATACAGTAGTGCTCCTACCACAACAGTACTAACGTACTATCAAAACTGTTAAAATTATATTTTTTTTAAAAATTCTAAACCATGTATATGTTCCAACATGCAAAAACATCATGAGCAAGATAAGCATCTTCCTAAATAAGCCACTATAGTGGCTGAAATACAAAAAATTCTCTATGCCTTGAACAAGTAGTTACAAGCAGAAGAATTAATACTACTCCTTGAAATGAAAAACAAAAGATAAGAATCAGGTACTACATGCTTTTTTCATTTTGAGGAATTGCATTTTCGTAAAGGGAAAGGAGTTAAATACTGCAGTGTTTTAGTCTTTGTGAATCCACCCACATAAAAATTAGACCTCCCACATACACATTCATATACTCCAAAAGCTTTGATCATGCCAGATGTAAATATTTCTTCTAGTAGCCTATTACATATCCTCCAACTATACAATTGTTCTCTGTTAAAGCCTCAGTGATATTATGGGGAACTGAAAGGATATATTAAAAGTATATACACAGATTTTAAGGACAACCATGACAAAATACAGGCAAAATAGAAAACCAGAATGTATTCCCTGCCTAACAAAGTATTTTGTAATTGATTTTATACTGGAATTTTAGATTGAGGAGTAATGCAATTTTTATAAATGTGTACTGTGTTCAGAACAAACAGAGAAGTACAGCTGCAAGGAAGCTTAGTGTAGCAGTCCTGAGAGTAAGCCTCACAAAGAACAGTGCACCAACAGCAAGGATGTTTTCAAGGAAAACATACAGGCTAAGTTCTCCAAAAGAAATTACAGAAAGTATTTTAGGTAGACCAGGTATACTCTAAATTGGTAAAATATTTTTTACTTTTTTGCACAAAGTGCTGCCTACTTAGGTATAAACATGACTACATCACTATCAGTACAGTACCTCATAACACCCTGGTAAAATAAGGTAATATTTGTGCTTCAGAGACAAGCATGGGCATTTAAATCAACAAAGCTCACTGAATGAAGGCTTGACAAAACTGGAGATTTATCTCAGGTATTCTGATAGATCACCTTAACAAGATGAAGAATATTCAAGCAAGAGATCAGGTTCCCATACAAATGATGTCAGATCCAGCATCACAGTCACTAATATCTGTAATACTAGATCTGCAAATGGAAAATTTCACCTATCAGATCACTAATCACTGTTTGTCACACTGAAGGTTTTATTTTTTTTGTTAAGTTTGCCCCTATTCTTGACATAGCAAATATAAGAGAACTGAGTGAAGCATTGCTACACATATTATTTTTACTTAAAATTACCTAAAAATGACTTAAAATACCATGTTCATGTATGCACAGGCTTCACAAAACTTTAAGAGCCTTCAAATTTAAAAAAGAAAAAAAATCCCACTGGCCCAACCCAAGAGTTACATAAACTGGTAAAGTGAGGTTAGAAATTGAATTTCTTATGTTGAAATAACCTGCTTAGATGTTTTACTTTAAGCCAGACAGGAATTGTGCAACTCCACAGCAAGGCAACACACGGGTGTCTTGTCACCAGAAAAACAACAGGGCAGAACAAAAGCAGTAGCAGTAGATAGGAAGTAAACGGGTGTTCATACCCCCTCAGTCTCCACAAATAATGTTACGGCGCTATCATCCTTCTGGGCACTAAGATTAAAGGAAGGAAGACAGCCAAGAAGTAAAACAAACAAACAAAAAAAAAATTATGCAGAAATGGTAACTGTTGCGTCCGGAGAGTTGGCAGATGGCTCTTGGAAAGGGTGCTTGTTCATTGCACTGTGTCAATTTCAGTTACAAACATCAAACTTTCCACTTTTAAAAATGACCGTTTCTGTAAAATCTAATACATAAGCAGATTCCTTTTTATAGTGTTTCATAAAATCAAAGGCGATTAGATCATTTCTATCCTCTCGAGAAATATCATTCCCTAGATGACGTACAGCTACTTCATCTGTTTTCCATTTCCCTGCCTGACTCCGTTGCATAGCCGTGCTTTTTCAGGATGACTTTGAAAAGAGGCCCTTCCTGACATCATGCAACACGATGTCAAAACACAACACTATTACAATCCAAACTAATCAAAACTAATTTCTTAATAGATGCAGTCTCTGAGTAGAGTAGCAGTGACGCTGCTCTCAGCTTTGACTTTGATTATAAACAGATCTGAGTTAATAACATGTCCGATTATGACAGAAACTTACAGCTCAGGACTGAGCAGAAAATTAAGAGTACCTTCTTGAATTTTTGCAATGTGAACAGAACAATATTTTTCAACTCAGTAAATATTTCTGGTTTTCCTTTTAAATATATATATATGTGCATACATAAGCTTTTCCCATGGAAGCCATGCCTCCTGTACACGAAGGGTTTTATTACAGAACAACCACAGCTCACAGATCTGTCAGAGGAAATGAGCATTTGGACTTTACCACTTGCACTACTGCTTTTGCAGAACGTCCCCCCCCAAAACCATGTTCTAATTTAAACAGCAAAAACACAATACTCCCTGCAGAGACCCACAGAGCTCATGCTTTTCCTTTTGCAAGGTAAAAAATATTATTCAGCTAATTGTTTAAAACACTGCCAGTGAGAATGTATGGTTTTTAACTCCTATTACGTAATTACTGGAAAAATTAAGATTAAATACAGTTTCAAAGTTAGTATCACTAGAACTAAATATATGACTTTTGTTATTGGCATGTTCCAACTAAGGAGCATTTTGCTTAGCACTGATGAAGATTACTGAGTGTGAATGAGATGTATGTTACAGCTCTGCTGTAGGAACACAGGAGATTAATAGATCTCTGTTTCATAGCTGGAATTTTAGAATAATAGCTGGAGAATGGTGGTGAAAGGTTTGTTATTTACAGGATAAAGCAATAAGTAAAGGGTGGGTAAACAGTATAGAAGACCACACACAAATTATTCTCCCCACAATATTTGAAAACCAATACAATTTGGGCAGAACTCGCAAATATGTAAAACCTATTTTTAAAGCAGTAATAGAAAGGCAGACTTTCCTTCATTGCTATGGAGTCATAGCCACAACCATCACAGCTTGAAGGAGCCTATCAAGATCTGTAAGCTGCTATCCTGTTTACTCACTTGCAATTAAAATGCTGGTAAGAAAAAAAAAAATTAACAGATCATTCACATGAACACTCCATTTAACGTTTACCACCTTCAGACTCCAGCGCTGAGCACGTACAATTATTTTTCATGTATTCTTTCTTAATTTTCAAGAGTATAACAACTCATAACCTTTACATAACGGTGCCACTATGTAATTAATAGAGCTAAATGAACTACTGTCAGTAATCAGTAGCTGGTCTTTGATGGATGAGCTGATTCTAATTCAGTCCATTCCCTTTCAACTTTAATTAGTGGCATTGTATTCTACAAAGCAAATGGTTCGTTCCTCCATGTGACGATCTAACATTGTGTAAGTGGTCTGAGGACAACTTGTAAGGTGTTGAAATAAATTTGTGAATACAAAGTAAAAAGTCACAGTGATTACACATTATTATATAATGTATTCTTTAAAAATAATTAAGTAATATAAAGCCCCCACTGCAAAAGCCACTGATTTTAACAATTACCATACACACCAACAAATCTTGCTAACACAATTATGAGTTTCAGTGCAGTAGTTCTCTCTCCTTTTTCTTTAATTAAACCAATTTATCTGAATTATTAAGTGTATGTTGGTCAAATTTTTTGCAAGACACAAATACAGGCATAAAAATGCTATGTATTTCTACATGAGTACTGATGTAACACTATACTTAATTTTTTTTGGAATTATAACCCTTGGTCTAGATGCATGCTTGTTGCAGCTGGTGACAACTACTAAGCAAACTTTTCACCTCTTAATTACTGGAATTTAAAGTAATTTTATATTATTGGAAAATTCTCTAATAAACATATAAAAATCTGAACTACTCAAGGTTACTTAGGTTACAATATGCTTTGATCTTGTTCTACATTTTCTCCCGAACATTAATTTACATTGGTATGTTTCATCCTTCTTCCAGCAGTTCTGCTCTAAAGGGTGGGACAATGTAGAGTTGCAGATTCCTGCAAACTGTGGCTATTGAGCACATCTGAGTAGAGAAGATACTTGCTAACTTACTACAAAACATCTGATTCAGATGTACGTGTGACTTACTGAATGCAGGTATTTTTGAGCAGAATAGCAAAAAGAAACTTGAGAACCTCAGCAACTCAGTCTCCCTATCTGTTCTGATACCTTATAATGAAATAGTATGGGGAGAAACTGTTTTTAAGATTACTTATATTTAATTTTTAACCTTGTTTCGTATTATTTTTTAAAAAAGGGTGACATCTGAAATGAAATGACTATAAAATTGTTCTTATGGAAAATGCCATAAATCTTTTGTATAATAATTTATGTCAAAAGGTTCATGATATATTCTCAGCTTCTTTACTGGTCAATTTTCTAAACCCGCTTCCTCAGAATGTAAGAGCATATACTTAAAGAGCAAAATCCCTCATAATCTGTTCAGTATATGAACACTTGATGAAAAAAACCACACCTGTACATCAAAAGCTTCCAATATAATCTAGATGGTCTGTCTTATTTAGATGTTGTTTAAGAGATGAAACATGTGTAAAGAACGGCTTATATTATTTTTATCTTTTTGCTGACATATACGTACACAGATACAAATGCCATAAAAATATCATTAACTTTGCAAATGCACTGTAATGTTAGAAACTACCAGGACCACAAAACACACTGCAATGTGCATTATTTACAAATGACCAAGAGGATGTTCTTCCTTTTTCTCATTCCTTGTCAAGATCCAAATGCCTGCAAGTTGCTTTCGATGCAGTGTAGTAGGATCTGTTGTTACACAGTTTTGTGACATTCCAATGAAAAATGTCAGCCTGACTCTTCAGCTGTGGTCTAGAGACAGACAGGTGTTGCTAGAGACCTCCTATTAAACAATTCAGTGAGTACAGATCACTTAGGGGCAGTTCTCCTGCAGGTGTCTAACAGATAAAATAAGAGCAGCCACAAGTCTCAATACTGAATGGAAAATACCCATCTCAGAAAAATTTTTCAAGAGCATGTTCAGTTCATGAGAGAACCATTTTCTCTTCACAATGAGAAGATGATGCACCAATGATTTCACTTGAGACTAAAGTTGGTTTCTGGACTTTGTTTCAGAGATACTCTGAAGTGAGATGAAGCATACATATTCCTCATCCTACTACCAAACATTTTGGTCAACATGAAAGCTTGCTCATCCTCATCACCCTAGTGTGGCTGAGGCATTTCTAGTATTAGGACTCAACGTTTCTTCCCAAAATGATGTTCACATTTCACATTAAAGCAAGAAACTCACCTCCTTTTACTTTCACAAAGCTCTTGCCTCTTAGGTTACTTCTGGATTTTGCAGCATTAGCGATCCATGTCATTCCCCTGTACATGGGCAGGTCCACAACTCTCTGGAAAGCCTCTGGCTTATTTACCTCTTACTGAAATACCTGAGGCTCTGGCATATCCATGAAACTGTCATCTAAACGTGTAACAGCTGGGTCAAGACTTGCCAGGAAACTTCTAGCTGTCATCCAGGCATCCTCTAGCAGGGTCCAAGTGGCTTGGGCGGTATGTCTCCATCCCAGACTACCTGCAAATTTGTCTGCATCTTCATCAGACACACCACCATTCTGGAGGCCTTGGCACGCTCAGGTGGGTCCATAAATCATAACATGGCTTGTATGAATTACTTTGAGCCCTCCTTTCAAGTAAATTTACAGGAGGAGTAACAGCTGCTTAGTCTTGCATATAATGTGAACATATACAGACTCTTTGACTGATAATCACTGTTCAGTGAGTAATCAGAGTTCTTCAACAGAAAGTCCAACATACTTATCTAATACAGATTTTACATTTGTCTTTTCCATTTCCCTCAATGTCCTCTGAAGAACTGGTTTGTGTCTCTTCAACTGAGAAGGAACTAAGATAGTGCTGTGGGTGCTCTCCTCAATATACTGATGTGCTGAATATAACGGCTCCTTGCACAGGATACCACAAAAATTAGAACATTTGTGTCTCACATATTAATGCAGACATGGACTACATAACACCAGGGACTTCTCAGTGACTGAGAAGAAATGTCTCTATTCTCTCATTTAATACATGGCTTTGAACCCTTCATATTCCAAAGTATTCTAAACAGTCAAGGATGATAGAATGGCTAAGTAACCTGTGACTCTCAGTCATTCATCGTCATATGGAGTGCTTCACAAATCACTTGTATTTATAACAACATCCACAGAAAGAAGAAACAGCACTATCTATTCTGCAGGCAGAGTAGATAGCCATGAAGATTAAAAAATCTTATTTTAGATGTCTGATCTGAGACATTATGACCTGTTTCACTGAGGAGTCAGCACCCCATAATGCTTTAATATTCAAAATGCATTTCCCTCTGGCTTCAGCTGTATGTGCTCTGAATTCCTGCAAGTTGTGCCTCCAAGGTATCTAGCTAAGCACTCAGCAAACCAGTGACCTTCTTTCCAAACTCTGGTTGGAGTGACTGACTTGCTTACCTGCACAAACCAGCTGTCTGGGAGAGGCAGGGATAGAATGCAAATCACAAGAGCAACACTAAATGGTTTTGGCATGTACCTTCTTGTGAAAGGCATGTCCTGTTCTTACTCACTTTATCACTTTGTATTTTGTAACAGAGGTAGTAGTATTGTTGGAGATGATATTTTCCAATACTGTATGTTCCTGATTCACCATCAGAGCAAACCTGCTCTGTCTCTTGAATTATAAAAAATTTCTGTAAAAAACCCCAAACAGTGATAGTGTAGCTTATCCTTCCTTCTTAATACATGCAGCACAACAAGGTGGAATTAAAGTTTCATATCCTAACTTTTGGATACTCGGCCTTGCAATCTTATGAATATTCTTAGTGTGGGAACAGGTGGAGGGGGAAGATGGCAATGTATAATTTTCCAAGTTCCGAAAAAGAAAAATAGATCTATACCTTACCCAAATAACGTGACATTATACTGAAGCTCTTGAGTCAGAGAAACAGGGGAGCATCTGCCTCTTGAAACTAATGGAATAATAGGAAATGGTAACATCACTGGAGATGGGAGGTATATCCATAGCACTGCTCCAGTGCCTTCTACCTAGCCCCAGTCACCAGACTCCACAGTATCTCAACAATTACCTTGATAAATTAAGCCCTGGGTTGGACACAGCTTCACAACTACCTCCAGTTACAGTGTCCCAAAATGCAGGAAAGTGTTCCCCTTTTAACTCCTTTGTCCATTCTGCTTCTCCCCTGCATTCTTCTTTTGGACCCGCTTCAGTCTCCCTCTTGCCACAATCTTCACCAAAGATCTTTCTCCTCCTTTATGCCTTCCTCTCACATTGCCAAGAACAAGTCTCCTCCCTAACCAGACAGCATCACCTCCATTCCCTTATCCTCATCAGTTCAGCTTGACCCTTTCAGCAGTCAACTGAATTTTTCTGATTTACCTTCTTCCCCTTCTCTGACCAGAAGCGATGGCTCATTCCTCCCCATTTTGCTGACCACCAGCAGGTATTATTGAAAGCACAAGAGTTTTCATTTCAAGTGCCTCAATGCAGCCTGGCCCAGAGCTACCCACAGCCACAGCCGCCGAGTCCTTCTGAGGCACGGTGTTCCCAGCACAGAGTATCCATAGGTCAGCGTTTCAGGAACAGAGAAATTTAAGCTGCTTAGTGAACATGAAAATCTTTGGAGGTTTTAGTTCTTAGGGTCCTTCCAGTCTCTACTGAATATCTCTATATAAAGTATAGCATTGTATAGTTCTGTTTTCTCAGCCAAATTTGTACATATTTTACCAAAAATATCTTGCTCCAAAGCATACATGTATAAAGGCATTCAAAGAAAAGGCCTTCAATTTTTTTTTTTAGCCTGCGTAAAGATAGTGTTTTCCCTTGACTTCTTATGTAGAATCACGTCTACTGTAATAAACACAAATAATTCAAGTAAAAAAGTAATAATACTCACAGCATGGAAGAATCTCAGTACCAACTAGTAAGGATTAACACAAGTAGCTGAAAATCAGGATTTTATAATGAGAAGTGTTAGGCAACCCCAACAACAGACCATCAGCCCTCCTTATACAGTTCACACAATTAATTTAATTTACAAAACAAATTATAACTAGATGATGGAGACAGAAAAGCAGAAGGCAGCAAGTTTACAGAAGGCAATTCAAGATCTGTTGAAAAGGTGCAAGAAACCTGGAGGATGAAGTGGGAGGGCAGGTAGAGATGAAGGGAGCACTCAAGTGCACTGAAAAGAATAACAGCTCTGGTGTATTTTATTTGATCAGACTGGCAACCTACAAGAATAAACATCAAAGGGATTTTTGTCCCATTTTTTAACAAAATAAGGAAATCAACAGGCATGCTTCTGTGTACGTGTTTCCCACCACAACTTCTGAACCAGCTGTACAATTTCAATCCAGCCTGACAAAAAGGACAAGGGAATCCAAAATATTAAGTCTTGTTTCTGTGAAACTAGCCAGCTGGGTAAAGAAAAGAGACCCTATTGCTGTCCTGCCTAGTGAAAGGCTAACCTTCAGTCATCAGACATGAGAAAATCCACTTATCTGCAAAACAAATCCATGGAAAAACAATTGCCAAGCTCCCTCCCTTTCACTGCTCAAGGAACTTGTTTTCCTTTTCTTCTTCTTTTCTTTTAAATAAATAATACCATTTGCAGTTACACTCCACACTGGTGTATGACTTCAACATAGACATACATGTCTTTAACATAGACTCTTTCTGTCTTTAACATCTTATTTTTCTATTTGCATGTGTCAAAAGAGTTTGCTTCAGGAAAGGCCATATTCTACTTCACCTTGCCATGGATGGCACTAGTTGAGCCCTCACCACTAA